CACACACTTAACACATATATATGTGTGTATAATGATACATCTTTAATATTAATAATTGTTATTTTTCTTAAAGTCAATTTGCCAGTAGTCTATGGGAATTATCTTTGTACTTCAGCGATGATCCAGAAATAATGACATTCTTAAATAAGCTTATACATGCTCTACAAGAAATGAACAAGTATCATACTATTTTATTAGATCAAGCTTCTAGGACTGTGATGAAGGATCTTAATAATTTTATTAAAAGGTAAATTTTACACACACACACACACACACACACACACCGATTTTCAAACAAAATTGACAAGTTCTACGAAATTCTATAAAATTTTACGTCAATCTTTTCCTAGCGATATCAAAAGAGCAAAAGAGACTCGGCATTACTTTGAAAGAATTTCCAGTGATCTTGATATTGCACTGAATAGGAATTCTCAAGTACCGAAATCTCGGCCTATGGAATACGAAGAAGCATCAAACATCCTGTCGGCTACCCGATCATGTTTTCGACACACTGCTTTAGATTATATTCACGCTTTGACGATGCTGCAAGCGCACAAGCGACACGAGATATTAGGCACATTATTAAGCTATATGCACGCGTGTATTACTTATTATCATCAAGGTAGCGATCTTGCTCAAGATTTAGATCCTTTTCTCAAAGATCTCGATGAAAATTTAATTCAGATGAGAGGTGATTCGAATAAACTCGAAAAAGAAATGGAAAATCGTCATATTTATGTTAACAATCGAGATTTGATTCCTTCTCTGGTACCTGGCAATTCCAAGATGGAAGGCTATTTATTTAAAAGGACTAGCAATGCTTTTAAAACTTGGAACAGAAGGTGGTTCTGTTTGAAGGATCATCAGCTAGTATATCGAAAGAGAACAGGTGACGAAGGCTATACAGTTATGGAAGAAGATTTGCGATTATGCACTGTAAAACCTGTAGTAGATTGCGATAGGAGAAATTGTTTTGAAGTTTTAAGTCCGACAAAGTAAGCAGATATTAGTTTCGAATTTGTACAGTAATTACTATAATATAATAAAAAGTAAAAGTTAAACTTTTTATAAGTGAATAAAAAATTAAATTTTCATTTTCTAGGAGTCATATGCTGCAAGCAGACAGCGAAGAATCGTATTTGGCATGGATAACTGCGATGCAGCAGGCTATTGGCGCTGCTATTCAAAGAGGCATGAGTGTAGTTGCTAATATTAATTCACATGAATTACAATCACGTGATAGTCCTGCGAGACCATTGACAAGACTAAAGTCAAGGTGAGTATTGATACTTTTTATGCTGTCAATTTGTATTGAAGAGGTGAGAGTATTTTATCACAAGTTATCACTTTGAAATTTCAGAGTGTGGGAACAATTATTAAAGATCTCGGGTAACGAGGTTTGCTGCGATTGCGGCGATGTTAACCCACGATGGGCTAGCATCAATCTAGGCATTACGCTTTGCATAGGTAAGCTTTACTCAACAAAATGTATGTGGTGCTACTTTTAACACGATGTGACTTGATATTTTTCACGTTTATCTAGAATGTTCTGGTGTACATAGAAGTCTTGGGGTACATTACAGTAAAGTTCGATCCTTAACATTGGATGATTGGGAACCAGAAATACTTAAAGTGATGGCAGAATTAGGTAATTCTGTGGTAAATAGCATATACGAAGCTCTACCTATACCTTCCGATATTACTAAAGCTACACCAAAATGCAATGGGTATATAATGTCATGATAAATTGATCAGCTATCTCCTGTTTAATGGCAATAAAAAAAAATCTTACAAAAAATGTTTACATCCCTTTTCTCTAGTAACGTTCGAGAAGCTTGGATAAAATTCAAATATGTAGATCGTAAATTTGTAAAACCTCTGACTGATGTAATACCAGCTGGGCATCACGCTAGCCGCGAGCAAATGCGATTTCGAAAATGGAGTGTGCGTAAATTGCGTCGCAGACCACGTAGTTGCGATAAAATCGATAATAGTAATGGCAGTAAAACGTTGACATTATTACCTGTCAAAGAAACTTATCCTTCAACGAGCTCGGACGAAAGTAAACACACGTCAATCGACAGTTTGAATTCCGTTGGCAAAGCAAAGAAAATTGAACGAAATTCCATAAGCTCGGATGATAGTGCTAATATAGATTTGAAAAACAATTCTACTCTTTACGGAAAGATCTTAAATCGTTCGCAGAACGATTTGAATGAAGTTAGTAAATATGTTAAGAGTACAACTGCAACTCATGGAGAAGTCGCAAGTGTCGAGCCGTTTGCAAAAGAGCTTGGTTCTATGCAAAGCGAACTGAAATTGAATACAACTGAAACAATGAATATTAATACGTTTTTAGTCGTCGAATCGGACGACAGTTTCAATAAACATACCAATGATAAAGTCAAGGACGATAATAAAAACATTTCAGGAAATAAAGATCTTGGATCAAAGAAGCACTATAACGAAAAAGTACAATCAGCTGTCTTAATGTTTGGTTGCGATGTACCAAAACCTGCTATCGATAACAATTTAGAACTAAGTTCTGATCAAGATTCAACGGCTGGCGAGGATGAAGAATTTACTGATGAAGAAGATATAGAAAATCTGCATCCTGAGATGTTGCTTTACAAAGCTGCAGCAGCGCATAATTTACCAGTAATGTGTGCAGCATTAGCGGCCGGTGCTGATAAGTTGTGGTTGAATGTTAATGATAAAAGCCGCAGTTCTCTACATCAAGCGATAATAAGTGTATGTACGACATTTTATTCAAAACGTAAGCGTGTGTGCGCGCGCGCACACACAATATGTTGTAATTTTTCTTTTTTGTGAATTACGTTTCATACATTTCTTACACTATTTCTGCAAGAAACATGCTCCAAAATATACAAATGTGTAAATTAATTATGTATTTTCTTGTATGCAGGGTTCCGTTATGTCGTGTGAGTATCTCCTTTTAAATGGTGCACGAATCAATTGTCAAGACGCCGAGGGAAAAACCCCATTGCATTTAGCAACAGAATTAGGTACATAATAATATTGTCTTTATGTTTTTCGAAGTGGAGAGGGGAGAAGAATATATATTAACATTTTCTAAATTTTTACAATTACAGGACACACTGCCCAAGTATGCCTACTTCTTAAACATCGTGCTGATCAACATATTGAAGACGAAAGTGGAGTAAAACCTTTGTCAATTGCTGTAAAAGAAGCAAACGCCGATATCGTCACTTTGTAAGTATTGTCTGGAAAGGTTTATGTACGTATATAGACTTAAACTTTTATGTATATATGTTATAAAATATTTTATTACATTGCGATGTATATTTATGGCAGATTACGGCTTGGTCTCCTAAATGAAGAAATGAAAGACTCCGAAATAGGCATCACCGGTGATGAAACATTCAATGACGTTGTTCGTGATTTCAGTCAGTTGGCTTGCTCACATCCTGAACGATTGCAACGTCGAAATGAAACTACAAATTTATCACATATGCCTGA